AACAGTAGTAGTGAGTAGCTCTATACAAGAGCAGTCAGCTGGACTAGAAGACTCCCATTTTCAGCCTCGCGGTTCTTCAGCTCCTCAGAGCTCCGACTGCCCCCCGTCATCAGTGATCTCGGCCAGAGATGGCATGAGGCGCTCTTCCACCATAAGCTCCTCGTAGAGCTCCTCCTCATCTGAATTCAGCTCAGCTGGGTGCCTGCGGTCTCGACTCGCCTTGAAATTCCTCAACGCCCCACCGCTCTTATAAAATTGAATTTGCCTCAGATGAACCTCGGTAAGCTCCTCTGTACAAGCCAGGACCTCAGCACGGCTCGCCAACAACTCCACCGGGATCAGTGCTGCTGCCACTGGGTCGACCCTGCCCACCTCCACCAGCACGCGCATACAGCTGACCAACCCTATTGGTGACATAAGCTGGCTCACGAACGGCGGTATTGACATAATCACATTAGCGCTCAGGCTTCTTATGACTTCTTCGTACGCGCCCTTGTCGAATGCAACAGCGCATCTGCCCAATACTTCAAATAAAATCCGCAGTTCCGCATGGGCAAGTTCACGAATGAAAGTATTGAGCTTGTCTCGGAGAGCATGGACCTTTCCCAGCACCACATCGGTGTTCTTATGCTTGTTGATGCTCCTCAAGAAGCGATTGGCATCGGTCAAGGAGTTGATGACATCTTTCTCGGGAACAGGCTTACCCTCCTTCGACGGCTCGTGAGAGAAGCGACAGGACTCCCCATTGCGGCAGTTGCCTCGGCCGTAGAAGTGACATGATGGCGCCATCGACGGAGCTGACAAGTCCGCTAAGCCTTCCTTTATTGATCAGGTTCGAGTACCCAGACGTATTGAATGCGAGTGAGGTCACCATTTCTTGACCACAATTTGCACGCATGCACGAATCGCATACTAATCGAAACCTCTTCCCGTCTATCGCTAGCTCTACTCCCCAATGAAGTTATTCGATCCTGTCGAACCGATCATCCCCGAAATTGAGTAGGATTAGCTCGACACAACATGCTCAAGAAATTGGTTCAGCTT